GGGAAAAGTACCAGAACCAGATAGATTACCAGGTTCTTATTATAAATGTTTTGAGAATGAACTTCTACAACCCCTCCAAAATACAATGAATTCTACACTACAGGGAGGAAAGATGCCAGAGACTTGGAAAGAGGCTAATACAGCATTAATACCTAAAGAGGGGCAAGATCTAACTATAGACCAATATCATTATTGAATAGTGGTTATAAGGTGTTTATAATCATTTTAGCAAACAGATTGAAAATAATTCTGCAAGAAATTATTTATGAAGGCCAATGTGGATTTTTACCTAAAAGACAGTTAAAAGACAGTATCAGAATGGTGTTGAATATTATGGAATATTTGGAACAGCATGATGAAAAGCAAGCTGCATTAATTTTCTTAGCCGCAGAAAAAGCTTTTGACAACTTAAACTGGCTCTTTTTATTTGAAGTTTTGGAAGATATGAACTTTGGAGAGAACTTTATAAAATCTGTAAAATCAATTTATTCACAGCTCAAATTATTGTTAATGGAAATCTAACAAAACCTTGTGAGATACAAAAAGGAACAAGATAAAAACAGGGAACAAGCAGGAGACGGTGAGTTCTAGTCCTGCCTTAGGCATGAAAGCTGGTTGGGTGACTGAGATTCACTCTCTCTCAGTCCAACCCACCTACAGGGTTGTTGTTGTGGGGAAAATAGGAGGAAGTTTAGGTAACATTAGGTATTTTTGCTGCCTTGAGTTATTTATAAAAATAATGAAGGCAGGATAAAAAAAATCTAAAAAAAAAAAAGACAAGGTTGCCTATTATCCCCTCTTCTGTTTATTTTGGTTCTTGAAGTTTTGAATAGAGATATAAGGCAAGATGAGAGGATAACGGGTGTAAAAATTTAAAAAGATGAGAGCTTTTGCAGATGATCTGGTGCTGGTTTTGGAAGATCCCTTAAAGGAGATTGAATTACTAATGAGAAAATTAAAAGAATTTGGTGCATTTCCTGGTTTTAAGATTAAAAAACAGAAGACAAAGATGCTAACCAAAAATTTGAAGACACAAGATCAAACAGAATTTATGAACAAAATGGTTTCAAGACTGAGAAAAAGATAAAATATTTGGGTGTTAATTTGACAAGCGTGAACTGTATGTTATTTCAAAATAATTATGTTAAGACATGGAATGAAGTTTAAAAAGATAAGATGGGATAAATTGCAATTGTCATTGTTGGGGGGAATTTCTGTGATCAAGATGAATGTCTTGCCTAGAATGTTATTTTTGTTTCAGACAATATCTGTTTTGACAACTGTTGTACTAATTAAACAGTGGCAGAAGGATATATCTAACTTTGTGTGAAAGATATGTTGTAACCCTAGAGTAAGAGTTCAGTTTAAATGTATACCTATAACTGTTGTAAAAGAAAATCAGAAGTCATCTCTTTATATTTCTTTCTTTT